GGAGAGGAGACACCAGCTAGATTGCATCGCAAGAAGTACAACATTTGACTGCGGTATTTCTGCAGAATTTGAGGATCCATTATTGCTTCGTTCCTGTTTGTCCTCAAATGCATTAGCCAAGAAACCCCTTTGTGCCCAGTCCTCCTGTTCAGGGTGTCAAAATATGGCCCTGATCAGGGAAGAGGGCTCCCATCACCTTGCTATCTAAGGGAATTGCCACAGGCTTAAATGATGTATTTCCTCGCTCTGCAACAGACTTCCTTTGTGACCTTGGGCAAGTCGCTTCACCTTTCACTGCCAATCTGTGGGGATAAAAAGCACTTCTTTTGCCTTCCCCCACATCTCTCTTTGTCCATCTTGATTGCAACTACCTCAGGGCTGGGACTGTCTCTTGCTATAGGTGTGTAAAGCAACTGTTAGCATCATTTGGGAGCTCTGAGTAATACTCTAATATAAAGCAGAGGCCCCCACTAGACTATTATATTACAGTGATTTATGTTATAACACAGATTTATGAATCTTCTAATCCACAGCATATTCCATTATTTCATAGAACACTTTATTAAAAGAAGCTTTTACATTGCACATGTTTTATACCTTGCACAGTTATTTCACACAAGTTTATATTACAGCGCTGTTACTAAAACTACCCTGACTGTTTCAGAGCTAGCCCTGAGCTGTGTATAATATACTGAATTTCCCTGGTGTGTCATAACTGGAGGAACATCTGCTCCAACTAAACTTAAACTCCTCTTCCTTGCAAAGTCACATTATTCAAAGGTTCTCAAATCTGACTCTTTTGTGGGGGGTTGTAATGCAGCTGTCATGCCATGCTAAAAAGAAAAAAGGGTCGTGACGGCAAGACTTCATAAAAAGATTGCCTCCCCACCTAAAAATTAAACTGCTCTGTGCTGTGCAAGGCAGACACCTTGCTGGCTTCTACCCTATGCAAAAGATCATCACAGGCTAATGCACTATTTAAGTGCCACTTAAGCCCTCATTTGAGAACTGAAAAAGGTGCATGGGACTCATATGGACCATCTGCATTAGGCCTTTCCAAACATAGGACCCGAGTTGAGATGCTATAGGTGTTCAAACCTTTTCCACGTCTGCCATTGACCCCATGGACGTATCAAAGCTGGACCATCAAATCTCAGAGAGAAACAGTGTGATGATCTAAGTGCGAGACTAGTCCCCGGGACTTCCGGAGTCCTAAGTTCGGATAATGGGGCAGTGCCTTGATTTCTCCATAGCAGGAGTGTAATCTAATAAATCCTCTTGGAGGGGGAAAGGAGGAGTAATTCACATTTAAAAAGATGAAACACTCCCTCTATGCACCTCAAGACTACATTGCTTGGCACTGCATAAATATGGGTCGATACATCAGCCGACAGCATCAATGAGGAATACTGATAAATTTAATCTAAACCAACTGCTTATAACAGAAAGCCAGTGCCCAACAAGCTCTCTAAAATCAGCCAGGTTCAACATTATTCTAAAATGCACTTTTGGACACCCCCCTTCCCTTCCCTTCCCCCGGGCGGGAGTCTGAACCTCAAGGCAGACACAGGAGCGGGGCGATGGATCAGTATTGGCGAATCTGGAAGTTATCGACACCATTTTGTCTCTGCGTTTAAGCCTTGGCCCTTCCTTCTGGAGTGACATCTTTACTCGGTCCATGGAGGTTAATAGAGACATCCCTCCCCCATTCTAGGAAACAAATCCATTATGTAAATAGAGAGCTGCCTTTGACTCATCAGCTTGTACCTTTTATGCATTTTGGCAGAGCGGCATAATTGACTCATATCATAAATCAAACATGCCTCTGTGCGAAGTTCCAGCAGCTCCTGCCTTGGTTTGAATACTTACATTAGCTCAGAAAGGAACAGAGTTTAGGGACACTCAGTCCTGGCCAACAGGGACTGGGCCAAAATCCTCTTCTCTGAATTGCATTATCAGAGACAAATATGGCAGGGGCTTGCTTTAGACATCAGGATGCTGCGAGCTAAGCCATGAGCTACCCTACTGGCTTCCCCGTTTCCGTGACCTCTGCCTTCATTATGGCATCGTTTTTTGGAGTATTCATTTGACAAGCTAAAGTCTTGAGATCTTCTCTAGGGAGGCTTCTGATTACAAGAGCCCACCTAGGTACACCGGTGTCTGGAAGGACCGAAGCCTGGCGGATAGAGCCGGGGGGCTCAGCCTAATACCTCTGGGGTTTTATTTCCATTTTGGCACTGACTTTTGTAGGCAAGTCATTTCAGCATGCCGTGCCTCAGTTTCCCCTTTG